GAAGAACCTGTTGACCTTTCAAAGAGGATGCATGTTATTATACCATATTAAAAAACAATGTTTGGTTCTTTAATTCTTAATTTAGCAACTATTAAGTGCCATTAGATGGTTAGGAGCTAGAGCCAGAGGTTGCCGACCCCTGTTCACTATCTAACATGGCTTCCACATTAGCAGAACATGGTGATAGTTAAAGGTATAAACCATTTATTAGCACTGCTAAAGGTTCGTAGCTCTGTAAACCAGGTCATCTAGTGAGCTGTTTATTTGTCAACACGAGTTTTTAGTGTTTCAACCCATCAAATGTTCTAAAAACTGTTATAATTGTTCACACTGATTTAAATCAAAATAGTTGACATGATACTAGAAAAGACCATGATTTACATGAATCCTCTACAGCAGGGGTCTTCAATGTTTGCCAAGGACCCCCAAACTGATGGTGAGATGGAGCGGGGACCCCCTAATTATATATATTGTATGAAATTGTGTTATATTAAACTGCCGCTATAGTCTCTCTATTACAGATGGAGTAATGTAATGAAAGTAGTTTTGCCCTGGGGTTATTAAAGTATTTCTGATTCTGTTTCCTCGTTGATGGGACAGGTGTTGTGAATGAAACGTTGCCCAGCTTGAAACAGCTCCTTCGTGTTGCTGAATGTGTGCATTGATCTTCTGCCTCCATTTATCTGTTTACTACAGTGTGTTGAATTCATATTAATGTGTATTTAAAGATATTTCAATTAGTGGAAAAAATTGCAGGGGAATATAAAAAAAAGTATAAACCGTCAAAACTTTCGTGACCCCAATGCAGTACCTCCGGGGACCCCCTTGGGGTTGCGCACCCCCTGTTGAAGACCTCTGCTCTACAGTACTGAGCTATCATGGCTTAGCACCATATGAAGGGTAATAAAGTGTGTTCACTGGACAACTGTGAAGTCATTCCTTTAATCATATAAGGCATAATATGGTCTTTGCAGATGGTAGTAATGGTTTGAACTTTGTCCGGGCATGGGTGATTCTAGAAAAGGGCCAATGGGGGCCAGTGCCCCTGTAGAGCTCGTCCTGGCCGTTACCAACTGGAAAGGACATAATAACTGATTGGTCCCCTTAACCCATTACTTATTTTTTTCTTTTTTAATAATGATATAAAACTTGAGGTGATTTTTATTTAAAAGAAGTAAACAGATATGTAATATTCCTGAATCGTGAATATACAGAAACATAATATTCAAAAGAACAGCTTTAGATAACTTATATTTTCCATTTAAGCTGGGCATACACTGTACAAGTTTTGGCCCTTTTTTGTGCCAGTTCTCCAGTCGTGCGAGAATTTGACGCCAAGTTTTAGCCTTATTGTGCGTCCTGCATTGTGTGGTATACAGGGGGTAACTAGAGGTTATTAGCTTGTCATGATCACCTCACAATCAGGAATCGTAAGGTCAGGAGAAAATTAAATATTTTTGAATTTCACTCAGCCCTCATAAGGTGTTCATGATTAAATCCTGGTGTTTAAGCAGAGATATGAGCGTCCAGAGCCTCAAGCACCTTGTATGTGCAAAGAAGGGAATTCCTCTTCTTCTTCCAGATTGACAAGTCTGACCAGCGCCATCTCTCGGCGGTGAGTCCAATGTGTGGTTTTTGGACATGCAGTTTGAGTAGTCAGATCGCATCAGAGCATCGGACTGCACAGTGTAAAAACATACATCGGGAGCAGTGAACTTTTAAACCCTGCGGTTTCGTCGTACAGTTTGAGTTGTGGCTGAGTACAATGATTGAAAATATTGTACAGTGTATACCCAGCCTTAAGGCTTCTAAAGAAGCTGTCAATACTTGACATTGGCAACTAATAACAAAGATGACGCAGGCACCGCGCAGTGAAGGAGGAGGTATGTGACCAACGGAGCAAAAAGCAGTGACCATCTGCCTGAGCGGTTAGTTGACTGAATTCACTATAAAGTCCCCTATATAGTCCCCGCTCTATATAGTGATTGAGGGAAGTAAGGGTTAGTGCGGACGTTCAGGCACAGTAAGCTTTTATGAGCTATATGAACAGCAACCTTTAAACAAAACATGCATTTTTTTTTAAGTGGAAAGGGTTGGACTGTGTAAAAAATTCACGAAAATCCTCCACAATACCTTTAAGTGTCTTACCACTTAGCATTTCAGACACTATGCAGACATCAGACTGCATTGGTAACTTATTTAAAGTTGAGTAGAACTATATATTTATTAATTTATTACTACAACAACTCTGCTGATGGTGTTGCATCGCTGGCCACACCCATCCTTAAATGGTCAACCAATGTGGTTGACACACTATCACCTTTTTGACTAGAAATACATATATTGCTTTATCAACACATTTTTTCAGTTGCCTGAAAAAAAATAAAGAAAGAAAGAATTTCAATTGCAACTACATAAAGTTTTAAACAACGACGTGGAGATGTCGCATCATTGATCTATATTTAGATTCCTGGTATTTGTGGCCCTACACCCTGGAGCCCCTCTGCTGAGTTTGCCTGACCTGTCCTGGTTGTTTTCCACAGCAATCCCAGTTACCAGTGGAGATTGTTGGCTTGTGAAAGGGCCAATTTAGTTGTGGGTGCTTCTGACTCTCTGGGCTAAAATGGATGGTTTGTGCTAGCAATCAACAGCAGAAGGTAACACAATAAAATAAACAAAAAAATGTCTTAGTCTGAGTAGAAGGGAAGAGGTGTGTGATAAAAAGAAAGGAATGGGAAGACTCTTACTGTAGATCCCGACCTCATATTATCCAGCAATGCCAGTGACTTTATGACCCAAGTGGAGTTAGGGGACTAGCCTATTCTGTTTGATTTCAGGCCCCCCAGGGCCAGGGGCGGAGTTAGATGGGGGGCCAGGGGTGGCCATGGCCACCCTCAGCCAATCATTGCTCACCCCTGTGGGGTTTTCTCCCTCTAATACAGACGGTGGCAGCAGCAATACTCTTGAGTGGAATATTCTGACTTATTTAACATTTAAATTTTTTATAAGTGAACAGTTACTTGATAACAAAAACACTTTGGTTAAATATGCACATCAATATAAAAAGATTAAAGATGGTAAATACAGAATATTTTATCTTTTCAGAATTAGATTTTGTCTTGTAGAGTAAAGAGAAAATTATTTTTCTGCAAGTCATCTATGAGTCTTCAATGAAATCCCAAATAAATAACTGCTTTAATAATAACTAATCCATTTAATGTAGATATATTCATACATGTGCATATAAATTTTATTCAGAACCTTTCATTTAGACACCATGGATGTTATAATATATGCGTCTATTTATTAGCAAAGGCTGTGGGAAGTATAGTTAGTCTTTATGTAGAAAATATGGATGTTGTGGTTGTTCATTTTCCGTTTGGAACAGTATAGATTGACCCTGAGATTCTGGCGCCTATCTACTTTTGCAATGGCGTAACGACACAACAATGGTCCCGTAAGCAACATTATCTGGGTGGGCCTCATATGAAGTACAACACTCTGGATTGCTCATAATTCCAAGTCGTAGTGTAAAAAATAAAACACTCGAATACATTGTTCTTTTAAGATCTTTATTGCAATTTGAAAGATATTATATGAACGTATTTTTTTACCAACCGTCTAATGAACTATACACAGTTATTAACATAGTAATAAATGTACCACTGTCTGCTTTGCTATCGGTGTCGTATTTAAACGGCTCACCATCATGTTGACATCTGGCAGGTCTTGGGATATAAATAAGGTCTGGTCATTCATGTTAAAATCCGGTGGGTTTAGAGAGGATTTTTTTGCACCAAGGGGGCCAACCAGGTGTCAGTGACGGGGCCCCTAAGAAGTTGGGGGCCCGTAAGCAAATGCAGTCTCTGCTTACCGATATTAAAGGTTGATTTATACTTCCAAACCAGGTCCTCTGCGTAGGTGTCGCAGTGAACAAAAAGCCGACCCTGCCCCCTCCGCAGGCACTCTGCTGCACGTCTACCAAATTGTAACTGACCGCAGACAGTGCTGCAGACAGGAGGCCGGCTTGTTTTGTTGTCATGACCGAAATTGCGGAAAACAACTCGTGAAGTTTGACCCGCTAGAAGAGCGAGGTGCACGAGAATGTCACGGTCTTGGTTCTGTTATGCTTTACTTTGCTCCATGTTTTCTAGTTTTATTGGTTTAATTCCTATTTCGTTGTATTTTCTGGACAAATTTTAGTTCTCAGGATTTTCTTTGTTATCCTCTGTTCCCCTCGTGTGTGTGTGTGTGTGTTCCTTTTCCCTTGGCTTCCTCGTTGCCTCCACTCACACCTGCTCCTTATCTGCTCGTTAGCCCTGCCTTTGTCTCAGTCAGCTATATGCTCTCCCTCTGCTGTCACTTCTTGTTGTTTCCTTGTCGTTGCTGGTTTCTCTAGGCTGTTTTCTTCCTACCTCGTCTCTCCTTGGCTCCACATGTTCAGTTTCCCCTGATGTCTCCATGGTTATGGTTTGCTTAACATTTTAAGTTGGATTTTTGGATTCCTGCCTTTGTTTACTGTTTTCTTCAATTAAACTGCAAGAAATCTCCTCGGCCTCTCTGCCTCTGCATTTGAGTCCTCAAACCTCAACCAATCCGTGACATGGGACCCTTTTTTAACTTGGCTCTCCGCTCTTTTTCTCCGTCAGGTCCCTCCGTCGTCTGACTAAAATTCCCCCCACTTCCTCATCACCTCGGCCATATCTAGACCCACAGCATATAGCGCAGACCACGATTTAATATTGAGCATAAATCAAAAATGTCTGCGTCAAGCTCACAGCGACACACAGCTGAAGGAGTATAACCAGCCCCTTATGCCATTGCACTTTTGGGCCACCCCTCAGTGTACATTTGTTATCGCCTGGCCACCCTTATAAAAATTTTCTGGCTACGCCCCTGCCTGGGGCCCCCAGTGCTTGTGGGGAGGAGACTTCTAAAGGAGGAAAAAGTTCAGTTACACCTGAGCTCGGCCCTAAATTTGAGACCCATGTTACTGTGAAGCGCATCCTTCGGAAAGTCCAGAGGGAAGCTTTTAGGATCTCCTCCCACCCTGCCCAGCCCAGCTGCCTGCACTTTGGCGTTGGTTCCCCTTTAAAAAAAGGCACGCCATGCTGCCATCACATGCTTCAGCATAAACAAAGTAGGATGTTGGCGGACTGCTTGTTGTTATGCAAAGCTCATTTGCTCCTCATATTTTAAAAGAAGCCTGGGAAGATCCTGTTTTTTTGTTGTGTTTTTTTTTTTCTGAGGATTTGTCGGAGGGGGGCTCAGCCCACCCAGTCTGGCAGCCAGTCGTGTTGCGCCGCCGCTGCGCTCTGCTGCTTGTTGTTCAGTAGCTGGTGCGCAAACTGAAAGCTTGGCGTTAATGCGCGGATTTAAAGCGACCTTCTGCGAAACGATAAAGGTTATGTTGGAGGAGTGGACGGGATAGCGTTACAGAGGAGAGACCACCACCAGCAGGAGCAGCAGGAGGAGCACGGAGGAGCAGGGAGCTCTGATCGGGGGGAAGGAGCGGAGAACTCACTCACTGGCTCCTTTCAGCTGAGGCTGTATGTAGTGGAAAGCTCGCTGATATCGCAGCTAATTCTCTCCATCGTGGATTTTCCAGTCGGATGAGGATTACCTTTTGGTTTGAATAGTTTTTTATCTTCATACACTCGAGAAGGAAGGAGAGGCTGTGGAGCCACACACACCAACCTGACGGTAAGGAGCGACTGCTTCCCATTACCTTCCCTCTTCTCGCTGTTTTATTTATTTGTTTTTATTTATCCATTTATTTATTATGAGTCTTTTTGCTTTTTTTGTATCTATTTCAACCAACCAACCTCATGGGATAAGGTAGAAACCAGGCAGGATGATGGAGGAGATTCCCTGGGAGGAGTGTTGCACAATTGGACCCCCTCCCACTTCCTAACGCCCTCTTTGGTGCCACTTCCAGAACCAGAACAAACAGGCCATAATAATAAAACTAAAACCTTGAAATATCACCATTTCACATAACTGTATGGGATCTCATTAACTCTCAGTGCAATGCTTTGAAAATCAAATGTTCAAGCCAATAGTTTTTATTGGAATCCAGGAGAAGACCTTATTACCTTTGTAACATTGAAAAAATATGGATATTTTGATGGCTAAAATTAATGTCGATTTAATAAAAATAAACTCCAATTTGCCCGAATATAATAAGAAAAACAAATGTGATTCTATAAGAAATTAATAAAAAAAACACATGGTGAAAGAAACACTTTTTTTTTTGGTACAACATTGGAGGCATTAATGCTGATACTGGCACTTACATTTACAATATAATTGTTAACTGGGCTTATTAAATTTTTAACTTTTCAATCAGCTTTCTTAACTTTTTTCTTGACTTAACTTTTTTCAACTGTAATATACCATACAAGGGTCTAATTGGTCAAATTCCAAAATAAGATGTACAGCCATGTAGATGTATCCTCGCTGAATTGCTGGATATTGATCTTGTGCTTCTAGACCTAACTGAGGGACAGTGGGATACTCCATTTGTAATGGGTATGCAAGTGATGGAAAACGGTAACTTGCCCTATAAAGGGTTAATTGATCCATGTTGTTTACCTGGAAGCCAGTGTGTCTGCATGTTGGGGAGGGGGTGGTTTGTGCATGGGTTGAACATGGACCTGGGAAAGCCTTGCAGAAGTATTAACACCCCTTTAACTTTTTTTATGGTTTATCACACAGCAACCATCAGAAATATATTTTATTGAGATTTTAAATAATGCACCGATGCAAAGTTGTGCATAACTGGTTTATCCTTGATTTCCTTAGGTCACACTCTAAAAAATATAAATCTAAATAAGAATTTTTTTTTTTAATAGGTACATTTTTCTCTTGAATTGGGCGCTTTGGTCAAGTCTACTTGACCAACACACACACACACACACACCTTATTTTAAGCGTTAAAGATGATCATTCCATTGGTAGATCATCTTATTTTCCTACTCAAATTGAGGTAAAAACTCTTATTTAAAGACATTTTTACTCATTTTCACAACATTTTTGTAGTGCAAGGCAGAATGTGTGGCTTTTGGCGAGTTTTAGCCTACTTGAAGCTGCCTGAAGGGTTCTAATGATGGGTTTTCTTCACTCCACAGGTTCTGTGGCTGTCAGGTATCTTAAGCTAGTGAAAATGTGATCTATATAAACTAAAATGTCATTTACTGGGGTATAAAAAAAAAAACAAAAAAAAAAACTTTCAAATGATAGAAAGATCCAGCGTTAAAATTTAGCCTACCACAGCAGTTAATAGCTGATATTATGGGGTTATTTAAGAGTAAAACGTAACCAGAATCTGGAAAATATATTTAATAAAAAAAGAATGGGCAAAAAAATCAAATATTCTGGCCATATTTTTTAATGTGCACATGCATATGTTTTAATCCCTCGTTTTATTTCCTCTAGTTTGTTCAATCTGTAACAATGTCAGGTTCTTTGTTTTGTGGCCAATAAAGCTGATTGATGAATGTTAAAGCTTTTTACTGGTTAGAATAGAAGCCATTTTACCAAATACTTGTTATATTTCTTTGTTTCAAGCAAATTATCCTGTCAAAGTTGAATGATTTCGAATAATTGGAAAAGCAGACCTTGGACAGGGTAATAAAGCATGGATCCAATTTGTTTTTTAAATAGTTGTTTGAAAACAAAACATCTTATTTTTTGTTTTTCAAAAAGAAGAAAATGATAAGCCTCAATTGTCAGAACTAAAGACAACAAACCATTGAATTGTCCATATATTTTCCATTATTATTCTGATTTCATAAGAACTGCCTTCAGGAAAAGCAAACAAAACTCTTTAGCTGCCTAGAAATGTCAAGTGGTGTTAATGTTTTGGCAATAGTCTTTATGATAGTGGCTTTTTTTGGGTCATGATGTGTTTACCTGCTGTGAATCGAGGAGCCTCTAACGAGCTATTGTGAACCCACTGAACAAAACCACCGTAACTGGGTGCTGATTTTGCTCTCTTTGCTCAGGTGGATGGAGAGGCTTCACAAATGCCAGAGCAATTAGCCCACATTGTAGTTTGTCTGCTCTGCCAGGGAGCTCGTATAAACGGGTTATGCTGTTATAAGACTTGACAGATAAACCTCCAGGGGGAATTGGCTGATCCTCTGCACTGAAAGCAGAAAGTGATGTATGGAGTTATTCCTGTTGATCACTTCATAGTTTTTTTTCTCTTAGGACTAGAACCAAGATATAGCCCAGGAGCTCTTTATAAGATCAGCCAAATCTAAATGGCACCACTACATCTGCTGGTATTCATCCTATTTAGTCCAATAAAAAGGCTTCTTTGCCATCTACTCAGAGTTACTTAGAAATCATTTAATTTCCTGTGAACGATGTTAAATATTATATGATTAGGATTGATTTGGACCATTTTGTCCTTGTTTTCATAGTACAAACTAGGCAGCAGCATCATATAGACATAATAACAAAGGTCTAGAATACCTCTAAAAGTTTGCTATCAGACTTTTATTCATTTAAAACACACCATGACGACAAAGTAATGGGCTGTAAATGAAATGCAAAAAGTCTATATTTCCAAATAAAGCATAATTAATCTTCTCTTGGCCTCTAGCTGTATTTAAATTGAGCTCCCAGAGAGGTTTAAAAGATACTGATTAGTTCTTTATTAGGGAGCATCCTGGGCATAAACCATGTTGTTTTTATTTCACCAAGAGTGTATTTTCATTTAGAGTATCACATTTATACCCTTCCTCTTTTAGTGCAGTAATATCAGATCAGATGCCTGTCTTCTTGAGAATGCCTCTTCTAATTGTCTCACTGTTGGCTTTTAGATTTTTTTTTTTCATTGTTTTTTTTCCATCAACCAGATTTGATGATGAACTGTGCCCTACAGCTTTTCATATTCTTGCATTTACTTCTGTGCTTTGACTCGGCTCTTTTAATCAGTGGTGTCAAAAGTACTCAGATTTGTTACTTAAGTAGAAGTATAGATACTGCAGTTTAAAAACACAATTCTTTGAGATAGGGCCAAGGATGAGGGAGGACTTGTTGGTCTCCATCTCCCGATACGCTCTCGCCTGTGTCCGACCTTTAAGACAGTTCAACATCCTTTTCTGAATCCGACATTGTTGACAATTCTAAATAGACAATTCACGTTTGCAGTTTGAAGAACACCTGCTTGCTTCTGATGATTTCCTTTAGCTAACCAATGAGTGTTTGCATTATATGACTCATCCAATTACACTAGTTTTCACTAGATGTGGATGGCACCAATTATCTGCATTGCATGGCGCACATGACGTGCGTGTAATAAATATTTATAAACATTAAACCAGTCACGTTACTTTAAACAGAATTTAACACTGAAATAAAATCAGGTATTTATGTATTCATGTTATACATTAAATTTATAAATAACAATAATAAAAAAAAATAGAAATTGCCAAAAATTGCATCCCATGCTATCTCAGAGGATTTGACACTGTGACTGTATTCCTGTATATCCATCAGTAGTTAAAGGACAAGGGTTAGCAAATGCAAATTCTGCCTGTAAAACAATAACAGCGTAATTGTCGCTGTCTGATCTGAAGCCTCATTTGGAGCTTTTAAACAGGCTTTTGAAAAACTTTGAAAATTTGCTGCTTGTAATATTATAGTTTTTTTTTTTTTTTGAATAAAAACCTAGCAGATGTGCATAATCAAAAAATAACAGATATACAGTTATAGAGCATTCAGTATTGTAGGAAAGCCCACAATGTTTCTGAATAAATACATTATTGTATGAGTAAATTATTGTATGAATACATCATTGTATGAGTACATTATTGTATGAGTACATTATTGTATGAATACATTATTGTATGAGTTAAGTTCTTTTCCGTTTGTCTTTTTCCTTGTAAGTATGAAATGTCCCATGCTCCTGAATGCACCATAGCTCTCTGATGCTCGTGAATGCATCACACTGGGCTGTGAACGCTGTGCTGTTGATTTTTCCGCTTAATACAAAGCTTTATAGAAAGTACAGATACTTGTGTGAAAATGTAAAGAGTAGAAGTCAGAAGTAGAAGGGAAAAAAAGCTATGGAGTAAAGTATAGATACCTAAAAAGTGTACTAGTAACGAAGTATTTGTACTTTGTTACTTCACACCTTTGGGTTTCATCCAGTCGATTCATTTTTGATCAGCTTGTATGTTTGTGGTTTTTGTCCTGTCAAACTTCTAGGATGTTTATCCAACTTCTTATCACATCTGATCAGCTTCCTTCTCCCTGCTAAGAAGAACTAGTATTTCCACAGCATGGTGTAATGATGTGTTGGTGATGCAGTTTGTTCCATTTTATTTTCAGCTGAACAGATCACCTTCTTCTATATTTACTCTATTTATCTGTCCCCTGCACTGATATTGTAAAGCTGTGCTGGTTTTCTTAGGTGCGTCATTTACCTTTCTCCTCCCATTTAATCTTATTGAACTGCATTGATGTTTTTGGTTGTATCAAAGTTCTTTAAATGTTTGTAGAATATGTATTGAACTTGTTTAGTAAAAGTATGGTTAGAACAATTCTGGGAAGAATGACCTACATCGTTTCCCCTCAATCTTTTTAGGTGATAAGGAAAGTGGCCCTTCAGTGGTTTGTCCACTCTAGTCAGAGGAAGTAGATATGTAGGTTTCAGTTAAAGGAGAAGTTTCTAAAAAAGCGTGAGTTTG